AGCTCCCAAGAGCTCAACCACGCAATCCGAAGAATAAACCTGCCAAAATAGCCGAATCTCCAAGAGAACGGATACTCAACAAAAATATCGAGTTTCGAATTGAAACATCTAACGTGTGCGAGTGAAACCGCAATCTAAATGGATGTCTTGCTGCAAAACGAAGTTTTTCTGGCATGAAAGTTTTTCTGGTACCTATGGGGTGATTTGTGTTGTTCTACGTTTAAAACCGAAGACACCCAGCTACGCTTTGACACCGTCAGTAACATCCAAAAAGGTGATATGGCGACACCTCGCGGTGCTAGCTGTAGGGCAGCAAGCCACATATTGCTTGTGGGGAGATCTTACGATGAAACCGAGAGCAATTCTTTTCAACCAGATGGGAAGTTTCTCAAAGGATGGAAAAGTAATGCCGTTGACATTAACAGTATGAACTTTCTACCAACTTTCAATGGAACTTTCTATAATTCATTAGTTATGCAATGTCCAACGGTCAAGTTATGTAATATATTTGCTGATATTATATTTATCTATTTCACGTTGATGTAAATCACTTCGGCCGAGTCCACCCAAAGATCGGGTGCTATTAATATTAACTTACACTCAGTACTTTATATCATAGTTTTCTTATTAAAAACAACCACGCAACAGCTTGACTACAAAGCTAAATGACAATTAACCATTGAGCAAATTGACCATAGTCATATTAGAGGAACGTGATAAAAAAGATTCTGAACAAAAAAATGAACATAGGCATAATCGATAGTCATAGGAAGAAAGGCTACTTGGAAAACAGTAGCCGTAGAAAAACGAAAAAAAAAAAACGTTAACAATATCAAAAAATTCGTAACTTTTTCAAACTTTTTGCAGAAAATTTTGCAACTTTGATTATTTTGATTCGTAAATTGGCGTTAAAAACTCCACAACTAATTTACTCAAGTTATACTAGGTTTTCACGGCTTAAATTAAGCACAATAAGCTATTGTACGCCTGCACGCACCTTATTAGCCTGAAATTAGAAAACAAAAACTTTTTGAAAGCAGTTCGAATTCCGACTGAAAAAGATTTAACATGATATATCACTCGACCCATTCCAACGATTACTTCTGGTACCTGATTAGCGTGGGAAAAAACTAAATTACACCCGAACACAGTTCTTCCACATTTTTCAAATGATCGGAACAACAACAAAAAAACATCCCTTTTGTCCCATAAAAACGGCGAAAAATCAGCAGTAAAAAAGCAAATTATTGCCTCAGCAAAACAACATATAATGAAATTAACCGCGATTTTTTTATTCAGCAACGCGTTGATTTTAGCACTCGCACCATTAAAAAATTTTTAGTTTAATCAGTATCAATTGACAGTTTCGAACTATTATAATTTGAATAAAAATAACCGCCTTTTCAATGCAATTACGTTCCTCTAAAATTGAACTCAGGGTATACATCTTTCATGGCTATTTAAAACACAGATGCCAAGAATGTTTTCGCACCACTTGAATTTACAAATTAACGAGCGCGTAGCAAGTATAGCAAGAAAAACTAATATTGGAAGAAATTTCTGGGCTTTGCGAACAAGGCGACCGAAAATTAACAGAAAAACATTAGCCCAACAATTCGAACTTCTTTCATACCAAAAGAAACGAGGTCCAGGCGGGACTGGAAGCCCAGTCCTTAGGAACCGAAGCCACGCTTTTTGCCAACAGACCAAGTGGGAATGATCCTGGAAGTTATTGAGGTTTTGATAAAAAAAAGCAAGGTCAACTTCTTACGTATTTGTTATACCAATTTTTTTTTACTTGAGACAGTCTAGTTCCCCACCAGAAGCACACTCGCCCCCGCAAGCTAAAAAAACTTGTCAAAACTGCTGTTCCGATCATCGAAAATTGCTATGAGATCATTCGTAGCTAGCGACAATATTCCTCAGATTCTTCGCGGACATCATAAAACCTAGAATGACCGGTAAACTTGCAAAAAAATTTATAATTCAAAAATATCACCGATGAACGCTTTTCTTTTCTTTAGCCTAAGTTGAGCGGGTTCTGCTCATCCGTCTCCAGACTAAGTATTTCGCTACTTCCACTGGTCTTAACCACAGGTCTGCGGGAGTAAAAGAGGAAGGATTTCTAGGGCAGTTAAAAGTATGGCAACTATTGTCGAGTGAAAAGAGACAGTTAGGGCAAAGTTGAGAAAACTTGTTGTCCAAGCGCGCGAACTTACGTGGTTAAAAGCCGACTGTAACAAAACTGAAGTTGGAAAAACTCACAGCGAGTGGTTCTGGGACGGGACTGTTCAGAGGTGTCGATGCTTGGAGGTGGAATACGAATGACTTTTGAGAAATGGTTTTTAGCTAGGAACTTGATTACGAGGTCAGTATGTTTTTCCGAAGTGTTTTGTGGGGGTTGAAAACGAAAGTGGAAACTTCTTCTGAGTCGATAAGATTTAGCGAAGGTTTTGGTCGGTTAAAACGGCGACTGTATCGTATTTAGGAGCACTGAAAAGGAATTGTCAAGTTGACGTGGGTGTGGGACTAAGAGTGAGAAAAATGAGGAGGCATAATCTAAAACAGGGCGAATTACGGTTTTACAAGTTAAAAATAGGTTTTCTTTCGACAGATCAAAAAAGGAACCTGCTGACGCTTTCAGAACTCCTATCCAGCAAACAAACTTGCAGCAAAAATTAAATTTTGAAAACACCACTGATAGGCGCTCCATGAGCGCTAGCGAAACATTACCTAAGAATCTTTGCCTTAATCAGAAAACATCTAGAAAATCGAGGCGTTGTTGAACCAAGACATGGGCCCACCTCTACGCCATCAACCTGGAGGAGCAATCAGGGTTTCAACGCAAAGACAGCACTCTAAATGTCATTGCCTGTGTTGCGCAAAGATCCTTTGACGCGCTGCAGAAACGCAAACGGACCTTGATTGTTAGGATAGACTTCACCGCAGCCTTTGACAAGGTGCGGAGAGGAGGCCTTCTCCGCAACCTCTACCGGTACGCCTCCTCAACCTCTCCTCCTCAGGATCAGAGCTTGGCTTGGCGGCAGGAAGGCCGCTGTCCTCTGAAAAAACGCCATTTCATGAAGATCAACATGGATGCTGGTAAAACCGAGGGCATAGTTTGCTCTCTGGATCCCAGAGAAACTGCTCGCATCGCAAGGCTAGGCCTCCCCTCCACATCTACAGCGTACCGGTCTGCTACACAAAGCACCCGTTCACCCTGGGTTTTACCTTGGACCTCCAGGTCACCTTCTCTGAGCATGACCAGCAGCTACAACAACCTGCAACCTGCGGTAGCTGAGCTGCAAGGTGTGTGGCCTCCTCTCGGCCGACAAGGCTTACGTGCGCCCTTGTTGGATGAACGGCTCAGGAGCAAAAGCGTCGCCCGTGCCATCACCGGTGCCCCGAAGGGATCGCCCACCATCCAGAGAAGGAGAGAAGCCGACATCCACTGTCTGGAGATTGAAGCAGAGGCGGAAGGCACGAACATCTTCTGCAAGATTGACAACCTCCATCCGGACCACACCAACCCGCTCATCAACCCTCAAGGAAGGCCTCGCCTTACATCAAGAGGGGATCGACAGTATCCCGCAGATTGGAGAACAGTTTGCAGCAGGTTAAAAGAAGAGATTGGGAGCCTGCACATGAGGAGCCTGAGTAAGACATCATCTGCGCCAAAGGAACGAGGCCAGAACACTAGACAGATGCATGAGCAACACGCTCGAAAAATCGCATCACAGAAAAATTACAAATGGGAGTTTGACAGCTCCGAAACGAGACGTGAAGAAATAACCCTCCACCAACTAAGACTCAACACGGCACCTTGATTAGGGTAAGTTACCCACCACTTCGGGAGAACTGCCCTTACTGCAATCAGGCCCCCAAAGAAACTGAACATTTCCTCAATCACTGTCAGTTTAGGGAACAAGAAAGACACGAAACTCTGGGCCGTCATCCGGACCTGTTGTGGCTTCAAAACCACCCAAAAAACTATCATTACTAGGCAGAGTAGGGAGAACCTCCCACAATATCAGCGGATGTATCTCAGTAACAACAAAAGCAACAAATAAAATATCGGCAACAAACCAAAAACAAAGATAACAGGTTGCGATTACATTACGATTTTTTCTTCTTGCAGTGCTTCTCACATTTTTGCAGTTCTTCCAACCTATTTCAGTCAAACTTTTGAAAAAAAAACATCTTTTATTAAATAAATATGAAATAATTCACATTTTTGAATTTCTTTTTTCAAATTCGGATTTTTATTGTGCAGGTAATTAATTTTAGTAAATAATGACTGAAATAGCTTTGAAAAACTACAAGAAACAGGTAATAAATTTTCAAATAACTTTGACAATGCAGTGATAAAATACGTTAAAAGCTGTACTTGGAAGGTCAGTCTTTCAATATTTTTCTAATTTCATATGAAAATGAAAAAATATTCGTCCTCTTTTTCTCGACAGACAAAATTTTGGAATTTTTATCCGAATCACAATCAATAGGTCTTTAACATTATACCACACTTGAACCTGTCTTTTTCCAGCATTTGGAGCAAATCTTAAACATTTTCCACAGAGGCGAGAGCACTTGCGAGAATACGACAAAAAGCAGCTCTATAAAGTGCAAAAATTCGGTTACCTCTGAGATTCAAACCTGCCACCGAGACATTAAGAGACTCACACACTAACCACTCAGCCACGGAAGCTTAAGCAGAGAACAGATGCAATGCAATTTCCAATGCTACATTGAAATTTTCTAATAAGTAAACACTTATATTTGCGAATTATGTTAGAAAAAAAGAAGGTTCGTAATAATAGACTACGCTGATCGCAAAAACACGCTAAGCTGATCGCATGTGTAAAAACAAAAACATGATTCCTTTTTCAAGTACATGATTTTGTATTACTAAAACTGCTGGTCACAAATTTACTTTGGTTCTGAGGGTTCTATGCTATATGACGTCACACTTTATGTAAGTATTGCTGAATTTGATCCTTGAAAACAAAATTACACACAAAAATATTAAATAAACATTTTCGAAAAAAACAAATCTAACAAATCCAATAACTTAAAATAATATTGGTCAAGTTTCAGTAAAAAGCAGCCCAGCCAAGGAACATTCTGCACAAGTTTTCATCGCTAATCGCTTCTGAAATCAGACTTTCTATTTGACCTTCAACTGATAACGGTAAGCTTCGGTAGTCCTTAGTACCTCTAACTCGGATTTTTCCTTGCAGTCGCTCGCCAATTCTGTTTATCATTTCTTGAGCTTTTGGGTTCACCTCAGAAATCATGCTTGCCGAATAGACTTCGGCGTTCTTATTTGATCCCGAACTCGAGCTTCTGTCTTTTCCACGTTGCTTCTTGTCAAATTCTGTAATTGGGTCATGTAAAAAAGGCCGCAAGATGCTCAACAAGGCGTCGTACTTCTCTCGGAACAGACGAAGAGTAACTTCACAGGACTGTCTGAAGAAGCCCTCGTGTTTCAGGGGTCCCATCGCGCTAAGCATGTTGTGAGTGAGTCTGAATGGCACCACTTCCGGGAATTCCAGCTCCTCCCCTTTATTAAAGAGGCAGTTGAAGTCTACGTGTACACAATCTCCGTTGAAAGCATCAAACAAGATATTCTCTCCATGGCGATCGCCTGGAAATCATAAGCCAAGGTTTTGAATTAGCTTGAAAAAATATGTTTTCAAACTTTGTGCTCAACCCCAAAGAAACTTAAAGATTCACATTGAAAAGGGTTAACAAAAAACATACGCCAATTAAATTTTTATTATTCCACACAGATGCGAAGCAGAGCTTCACACAACTTGCGATACAATCGGGAAAAGAAAACAATATCAAAAAAGGCGAAAAATTTGCAACTGCCGAAAAACTAGTTGCATAAGAATCAATAAAGCTAGTTTAAAAAACAGAACAAAAGAACCTTACATTAGCATCGAAAAGTTACCAAGCGGTAAAAAAAGCCAGAAGTACCTGCGCAGAAACCGTTTCAGCCGGAAAAAAAAAACATAAAAACTAATAAAAACTCCCCCTCACAACACCCACACACGAACAATTTCTTCGGTCAATGTTTTAACTGACATCACTGCTCGTTTGCAATACACTTACTATCACAAAAGCAATGAGATGAAATCAACAAAACATTGCCCTGAATTCCCATAGAGACCCTGCAGAGCTTTCAATCTTTAGTAATAGTGTTACTGGACAAAAATTCGAACTAAGATGACTGCTTCAATACTGACCTAGACCCCATATATATCCAACAATAGACATTACAGCTGCCGTCCTGCAAAAAGCCAGTCTGGCCAGAAACCAAGCTGTGGGATCCGTGAACGTACGAGTGAACCAGTCCCGCAACACCGGCGGACTGTGCTTCGGAATCAACGTGTTACGGTAAAGATTCAAGAATACTTCTGAGGCTGCGTTTCTCGCAGGCTGCAGTGACTTGATTTCCCTCGGAGTAAGTCCCTTGTTTCTTTCTTTGTAAATTCGATAACAAATCGGCCTAAAAGCCTGTGTGTTTTTAATCCACTCGACTAAACCGTTTTCCTTATCCAAGGCTATAACTGCATACGTTCGAATATGCAACTGTCTCTTACGCGCTTCTGCGTCTCTTAGCAGAAATTGATTTATAATCACGTTGCATTCTAACACTCTATAATCTTTTCTCAAATCGTCTTTCGGCTTAGCCATCATCGGATATGTGTTGCCATCCGATCCAATCACTACGAATTTTTTCGGTCTTTGCATTGACATAAGAATGTCTACTCTATCTTCGAAACTGTGGATGAAAACTCTATCGTTTCGAAAAGGTTGAAAATTATCCTGCTTCGATTCGGGTATAGAAGCTGTTAATGAATCCATTCTTGGTATTATGATTTCCGAGAACTCGCTACTAATGAGCAGTTTATGTAGTTTTGAGCAAGTTGTTTTCAGTGAAAAGTACATATCAGGAGGTGCGGCATTTGAGTTCTTCTCGCAGAGCTCTTTCAAGTGGTTAGTAAGGGCAGTCGACGCTTGGAACAATTTAGCAAAAGAAGCTTGGCGTTTTGCTTCTTCAAAAATCTGAGCACATCTTTCCGATCGCATTGCTACCGAAGAGTTTCGAACAGCAACACTCAGCCACAGAGCTTGTTGTGGGTATTCACGGATTAACATGACCAACACTTTTTTCAACACCTCAAACACTGACTCAACGGGGTGACAAATTCTCGAAATTAGCTGACTAAAAGCGGTGAACAGCTGGTAAGGCGCAATGCTACCTTCATGAATTACTTTTAACATAGCAGAATTTATAGTATCAATGTTTGCCTTGAGAAGTTTTACTCTGGTGACCTTCTCGGATCCCTGGGAAGCCGATTTCTCCAAGTCTTGCATCACAGTATGCAGTTTAGAACCTTGGTCCAGCCATATCGACAAGAGTCTCGGAAGTGCTTGGAAAATATATTTGTTTCCATAAGTCAAGGAATTGACATAAAACTGGTGGATCTTTGGGAGAACTTGGTCTTGATGATGTCCTACTTTAGCTGAGCTCTGTTCTAAAACTTGCTCATAGTAAGACCCCAAGCAGTAAAAAGAGTCATCTTGTTGCGGCCAAATATCAATGCTGTTTTTGTAGACAGTGATGATACTATTACTGTCAACTGATCTCGTCTCTTCCATGAATTTGCCAATTTGGAGATAAATTCTAGCAATCAGCTTTCGATCAATTTCGTCAGCAACTTTTTTGGCTGATGTTACCTTCAAGTTTTGGTTGTCCAAGAATTTTTGCAACATCATCAGACCTTCATAATGGTTCCCTTTGCTCTTCAAGAGCAACGAATGTTCTAGAATGTTCTCGACGTTGGATCCATACTCCGAAAGCGAGTTTTCAAGACCCTTCAGAGCAGTGTCGAAATATCCAATTGCTCTGGCTGCTTTACTGGTTTCTAACCAAGAACTCCGACTCCTCGCGTCTAAGATTTGCAGAAGTTTGTCAGCATTTTGCTCCGTTTTCTCGATTGAGACCTTGATGATGTTCAACAGACATCTGTACAGTTGTCTTTCCGGTTCCAAAATTGAAAAGCTGGGTTGCAAAATGTTCAACCTAGATTCCAAATGATCACATGTTTTTAATATTTGAATTGAGTCCAAATTATCAGTGGATTGATTTTTCAGCAACTGGGAGACGATTTCGACACTGGAAATCATTTGGAGTTTCGCAACTGATTCATACGCTCTCAAGTATGCATTTGAAAAATCCATAGTTGCTGCTGTTACGCTATTAATTTGAGTTTTTCTAGCATCTTTTAAGCTTGAGTCTAACTTCGACCAGTTTTTCGCCGATAATGACAAAATGCAGCTGCTAAAATCTACTTGAAAATCATTTTTGCAGACGTTTCTAGATTCATCAGTCAACGCCTGATTGTGATTGGCTAGAAGTTGAGTCAATTTTGACCAATCAGAGAGCTGCCAGCAGGCCTCCATGCAAATCGGCTCTATAGACGATCTTGAGCTATCGTTTTCAGACAGGTAACCCCAGGCATGATATTTTGCAGAATCTGCCTGACCAATAGCCAAAAAACAGCCTAAATACTCTTTTATCAAGGCCACTGAAGCTGGATTCTGTGAAATAGCCGTTGAACAACAAACTAGCGCTTCATTCATGCGGTTTTGGCTTTTATAATTCAAAATTTTCTCGATGGAGTTCAATTTCCTTTTGCGAATTGCGTTCACCCCTTTAACACCGTCAGGCTCGTTTAGTTCCAAGAAACATTTCTGCATAAGGCTCAATTCCGAATCGGGATCATCAAGTTTGCTCAAATGATCTTCAGTGTAAAACAAGGCGCGAGCATAGGCTTTGCACGCAAACGCTGCTTTCGAAATTGTGTTTGACATTATATGAGAGAGAAATTCTTTCATCATATCACATTTCACCAAAACTGTGCTTTTTTCATTAGAAGAGTCAACCCGTTTCGCATTTTCCCATAATTTTTCGCTCCGCAAGCTTGCTTCATAATTAGAAATTGTTTCCAATGTAAGAAAAACGGTTTGACAGCACACTTTCGCAAACGGTCGGCACTTCGAGGAACAACAATCACGCATCACCTTCAGAAACTCCTGAATGACCAAAGACTTGCAAGTATCATTGTTCTCGTAAATTAGTTGAATCACAATTACTGGTAACAGAAAAACTGCCACGTCAACATTGTAATTAAAGACGGCGTCACAGGCTGTAAAAATGGCAAAAGACTTCGGGTCAGAAACAAAACTGGCTAAATACTTTACCAACTTACAAATCCACTGTTTGTAGCTGGTAACATTTTCATCCATGTAGAACCTCACTGCCTCCGAACTAGTCAACAACGATCTGCAGTTATAGGAATATTTGGACCTCAGGTAAGGCGAGAGAAACGCTTGGGTTTCTTGGTCAAACTTGCTCCATAGTTTTTGACCTGTGTATGAACTCAAGTTTGGATTACACTCGAAAACTTTGAGCAGCTCTTGAATCGAGTAAGCGCAGCAATCTACCATGCGCGGTTCGCTATTGCACGACGACGACAAGCTATGGGCCAAAATCGTCAAAAGTCGAAACTTGAAATCGAGTGTTTCGGTTGAGCATTCAGTTTTGAAACCAGTTTTGGATGCCAGAAACCTCAGATCCACTACTTTCGAGGCATCAATTGCTCCAATAAACCCCAATATTTGTGACACCAACAATTGTACCTCTAGATCATCGACATTGAATTGCAAGATTAGAATGCGAATAAACTCTACCAACTCTCGACCTTCATGAAGAGTTTCAACATCTACGAAAAACTGTCCGACTTCAGGATTCATTTGCAACACAGTCAGAAAGTTTTGCAGAACAAAATATTTTGTTTCAACTGTCTCTTCCTTCAACCCTTTAACCACTGTTTCCAGGTGAGCTACGACCTCGTCAATTTTTGACACACTTTTCAAAAACCTCTCATTTTGAGTGTTGTCTTGACGATAAGGCAAAAAATAAAAAGAGGTTAAATCGTCCTGAAAAGATAGCTTAAGTTTATTTATTAACTCCAACGATGCTAAGCTCTGAATACTTTTAACATCATAAGCTATTTGCGGTGCCAATGATTGTAAATTGGGTTGGTACAATTTGGCAATAAATTTCTCGTACGCCTCGATTAAGACTTTCTCGAAGTTGTCCAATTTCAACTTGGGGATTAATCTCAAGACATCTAGAAGCTTTTTGTCATTCAACGAAACTGTATCTTGACTGACGACTTCGATAATTTTAACGGTGCTTTTCAGTCGTCGCACTTTCGCCGCCTTTCCCGCAGAACCCGAAAGCAACACGCTTTTGAAATTTGTCATTACCGCTAGCAGACGGAAACTTAAATAAAGTTTACTAATTTCAAAATTGTCCTCTTTAATAGATCGTTTTTTAAACGAGTCTTGAAAATTGTAATCAATTTCGGCTAAATATGGCAAACCGAAATTCAAAACTCGTTCTTCGAAGTCATGAACAAAACTTGCCAAAGAAAAACTAATCGGAACAATCTTCGATAGTAAAAAACCGTTCCAGTTTTCACAAACTTTCGGGAAGTTAGAGTCGAAGTAACTTTTCGGTTCATCTACTCCTCGGCTAAGAAGAGACGCTACTATTTGAACCAAAAAACCGCTAATGAAGTCATCCACGTTTTCTTTCATCAACTGACTTCCAATTTCTTTGCAGTAAATTTGTGCAAGCTTCCCGTTTAGCAGAAATAAACTTGACAGAATCAGCGGTGAGATATCTCGCACAATCGTTGGGGAAGGCTCGATTGTAAACGCTTGACATAAGAAAACAAGTTGCTCCACAAACTCTAGGTGAAGGTTTTCAATGTTTGGGATATCGCTTCCTGGACTGTTGTTGTTTACCGAAGATTTTTTGCAAAAAGCTTCGAACTTTAAACCGACTATGGCTGACCAAGTATCGCAGACTATTTCCTTGAATTGCGTAAAGGCATCGCTTAAACTGAAATTTTCTGGATTCGAGCAGGAAATTTTCAGCGATTCACAAGAAATATTTCGAATTTCTTCGTTGTTCGAGAAAAGGTACCCTATCAGATTTTTGAACCCGAAGCTTACAAAGTTTTGAATCTCGACGCGTTCTGATTTCTGGTCAATTCTTTCGAGGATTGATCCATATAATTTTGCTTTGCTAATATGGAAATCGCAAACGTTCTCTGCATTTTCCGGAGTTGATTCTTGGAAAAATTTAATCAAATCGCCCCAAAATTTTTCCGAATGTCGAATTTGATTGCACTCATACTGTATCATTAAATTCAGTGCCTTCAAAGCGGAGTCATTTGCGGTCTTCGAGCGAAATAAGTCTGACAGAAAGCATGGTAAGAGATCTTCAAAGTTTGGAGAAATTGGTATTACTTCGAGCAAAAAACTTAACATGTCATCATTCGAACAATTTTCGCTTCGTTTCAACTTGTTCAATAACGGAAGTATAAAACTTTGCCAAATGGTATCATCACAAGATTTAATATCTAAATTGAAGTTTATAGCCGGCTTGATAAAAATTCGCAATTGAATCAAAAATGGATCAATATCTAGAAAATATGTTTCTTCGCTGTATTTTGCGGTTAAATTGTAGTACGTCAAGGCGTAAACTAGTTGCTTCAAATGATTCAAAGCCGAAGAAGAGGTTTCTAAATTCAAAAATTGCGTTATGAGAATTCTTTCAGCAATCTTAGCTTCACTTTTCATAAGCACCCATATAATGGGTGGTATACTCGACATGAGAACATTTTTCGAGGACGAAATTTGAAAAAGATTTTTCAAATTCACCAGCAAACATGCAGAAACAGTCTTGGTGCCAAAGTGCTGAAACATAAGTGATGTAATTGCCCCAGATAAATCAATCAATTTTTGGCAATTCTCTATATCAGTCGAAGAAACTAACTCTTTTGCTCGAGTATAAACGGATATGTGCTTTTTCTGCTTTTTAAAGACTTCTAGTTCTTTCCAATCTAGCTTCAAATCGAACCAAGGAAAAGCTAGGGATGATATCCAAGCTACGTCCAGCAACAAATTCTCCTCTAGTTTAAGAGAAAAAGTCAAAAGTAAAAACCTCTGCAAAACCTCCAGGCCACAAGTCAGTTCTTGGATCGTCAAATTAGACTTGAAGACTAACTTTTTGACAACTGAGGCACAGTCGAAAAGCAGTTCAGCTGATAAAACTTCAAGATAAGTTGAAGATTTGAGTCCCAAAAAGGCAATTGTATGAAGTATTGTACGAACTGTTCGTAATAAAGATACACAATCCGAATCATTTGAACTTGTTGAGTTAAACTTTAGGTCGATTTGCATCAAAGTATCTTCAAGAATTTCTTTCATTGAAATAACGGTCGAATTACTTGAATTTTCACGCTTAAATTTCAAAAAAGTGTAAACGATTGCAATAAACTGAGATTTACTTGATTCAAATAATGATTGTGCTATCTTAGAATCACTTTTTTGCTCGAACTTAGCAACGCTAGTCACTACATTGTGAAATTCAATTCTTTTGATTTGGATTTTCAACTGCAATTCTGCTTTCAAGGCCTCAGTGCCATATGTAAAATTATCAATTTCAGAGTCAAACTTTTGAAAATAAACTATCGTAAGCAATTCATTCAACATATCACCAATGCGATTGAAAATAAGTGAAAATTCTTCACTTTGACCTAATGCTTTTTGAACGATACTGATGGCGAGCTCGTCAAATTGCTTTGTTTCTGAAGGCAAGGAATTGCTTTCAAAAAATTTTGAAGCTAAGGAAACCAAACATTTCATGAGATTTCTCACAGGTGGGTAATTTGATTGGGCCAGGAAAATTCCAAATTGAGCGATGTCGGAAATAAATGATAGCAACTTGTTTTGGGATATCAACTTAATCTGCTTAAAATTTTCAACAAACTGGACCAAATTTTCGATGATTACTTCTTTCGTTTCATCATTTGAATTGAATAGACAATTACGAAATAAATCAAGCAATTTTTCAATCCTGCTAGGCAAGAGTTCGACATTTGATCGCCACACGAGCGTCAGAATTTGGAATGAAAATTTCAGAAAATTGTCGAGGCAAATCTGAAATTGAACATTTACTTTGCATCCCACAAACTCGTCGCTACAGTCAAAAGATTTAAATTCTATTTCATAATCCAGACTGTTCCGAATACCATTCCACGTATTGAACAATGGAAACGCCGACGAAACTTCTTGGCAGAATCTTAAAATTTCTTCTACAACTTCTGCGAGCAAAGTTTCATCTCGATTTGCTAAAGAGCCCAAACATTTTTCGCATATTTTCACACATTTAGGATACAAGATTTCAGCAAGCAAAGGTTCAGAAACAATGTTATAACAGCAAAAGAAGAAATATTTTAGGGTAGCTAAGGATTCGTCTCGCTTTAGATCGAGTTTCGGTTTTTTGGATCTTGGCGTTGACAGTTCTTCAACTTCTGTCGCTTGAAAAGGGTCTGTATTTTGTTCATTTTTGGAAGTGAAGCTCGAAGTAAAAACTTGATTATATTCGGATACTACGACTTCAATCAATTCCAAAATGGACTCGGCGTCTGATAAGTTCAAGTATATGTGTCCATTATTCTGCAGATGTTCCGTAATCGTGTCTCTGAAATGCAGTCTAACTTCTTTACAAATTGATTCAAACGCTTCATCGGTGTCTTGAGAGTCAGGCGGCAATTCTGATTGGCTGATATAATTTTTGAATTTATGCAGTGATTGGAACAGAAGTTCGGCTGATGACATCGACGATGACGTCATAACATTGGCAAGGCACTAGGGAAGTAATATAACTACATATCTACTACGTTAAATCATTTTTCTGATCTAAAATAACAAAAACCACATTTCGTTGATTATGTAATGACCAGCGTTAGGCAACAGTTGCATAGAGTGGGTTGTTTTTTCCCGAATGATTGTAGATATCTCAAAACTACTCATAAGGGGATTACATGTAGAATCATAATTAAGCGCTTTCAGTCGCTATTCGCATTCCAAAAAAAAATCAGTGTCCACCTACGACACAACACAAACATAACAGGGCAAAATAGCCGACAGAAAATAAGACGACTTCCACTAAGCCGAAATAAATCGTTTAAAAACTATAACCAGTGCTTGTCTCGATTTGACTAGTATACAGTTCAATATCAGAAAAAATGCCAAGAATTCCAATTTAATGTTAAACTAGGATCGGAGTAAAAATCTCGAAGCGGTGACAAAAAGCCTAAACTACTTGAGCAGACACCGCTGAGCTGAGAAAAAAATGGTTTCATAAAAACTCAAACAATTTTCAAGTCCCCCATCAAAAAATCACACGCATAAGAAAATGTTTTCACCTATTAAACGCAGTGATAGGATGCCATTAAGTTGATATAACAGAAACCGTCTAAGTAGAATAAAGAAAAACGAACAAAAAACTAAAATAAAACTAACCTGAACTGATAAATTTACAAGCAAAGTATACAATGCCGACATGCTCAAAAACTGTCTGTTCGTAGACTAAATACAGGCTCAGAATTTTCAATTGAGAAAATGATTCAGTGAATTGGTGAGACAATTTGTTTACCTGGGAAAAATTCATTTCGCTTTAATAACGTTTGCTATCTGCTATTTGACCAAAATCTCTGATCACCCTATTTTCATTTCGCTTGAATCAAAAATTTTTGAATCAAAACCTTTTTGCAACTTTTTGAATCAAAACCTTTTTGCATCAAAATATGGCCGCAAAACTTTGTGCTACCTGCAGAGCAAACGGGTTCACTTTTTTCTAAGTACTCCTTCAAATTCTAACGAGTAAATAAAACGAAACTAGAAAATCTATCAGAAAATGCGCGTTGATAACAGATCTATAATATAAAATCAATGGCAAAGCCAATATACAGGTTGGAAAAGAGCCAATAGGCGCAAGGAAACGAAAAAACACGGTGCAATTTTTATTGATAACTTCAATTTCCTAAAATTAAATCTGAAATCCAATTGTCCTTAACCCTTAACACTATGTGAATTTCAAAAAAAAATGTATAACTGACGCTTCGTTGGTAAAATAATTCAATTTGCGAAAACAGGATCAATAAGGAAAGTTTCTCTTCCGCTGAGAAATCTGAAAAATAAAATCCTCTTTCATAATTAGAAGTCGATCACGTTTTTCGTGGCCTTTACATTTTGCTGTTCCATAGTGGAGTTTGCCTTGCTTTTAACATAAGAAATTAAGTTAACTTGAAAAGAAACCAAAAATCAAACCGCTATAAATCAAATTTGTGCGTGAACAAACTCTAAGATTTTTTCTAGAAAAAACTCAAACAAGAACCATCAAGACCCTTTTAAAAGTTTTCACTACGTTGATTGAATCTTTATAAAGAACCAAAAACCGAAGAAACAGCCTGCGGTCAATATTGACTGTGGTCAGAATTCATTTTTATACAGACAATTGGAGATTCGATTTAATTGCGAAACCTTAACTGCGAAAATCACAAAAAAACTCCGTCGTTGGCTTACACAAAAATTTGACTCGAAATCAAATATTTCTTCTATTTCGTCAATTGGATACCAAAAAAGCGCTCTGCATCATAAATTCAAAAATAATTTGTTTAATATTTACGAAAAATTTCACGGATAGCTGAAATAAAATTATCAAGAGCAAATTTTTACGAAAATACAATTTTGAGAATCACCATAAAGAAAAATCATAAATGTTTAAGAATCACACAGGACGATGCCAGATTAATTTCGTACTTTTTTGACGGCTCTTTCCACTTTCCGCGACATTTGATTTCAGTTTTGAAAAACTACGTTTCATGATGTAGTGAAATTTTGCGTGTTGAACAAGCTAGCTATTGTGACCACATTTGTTCTTCATACTTTACATCGTAAGATTACGAATTCAGTACAATAAAATGTAAAAAAAAACAAGAAAACTCGAAGTTTGAAATGTGGATGGGTTGGGCGGGGGAGTGGGTCATAACGATAAAAACTTTTGGCCCAAATATACAAAATCCACAGATAAGCACAGATGTCAAGACAAAATCCAAATCAATCAAGAAACCAAACAAAATAGTATCAAAGATTACCGCTACCAAATTGCATCACATCAAAATTTCGAATTTGTTTTTTTTGGAACTTTACCTCACTCCGTAGTCTTCTGTATCTGTTTCGGGTTCTCAAAACAGAGGATAAGAGTAACATACGGGAAAACACGCTTCACCGAGAACTAGTAATCCGACCACAATAATTTTAGAAAATTTTTCTTCATAAAAAATGGGCAGAGTAGAGCTTCGCACCACCAGAGTAGAGCTTCGCACCAACATGGCAAGTTAACTAACAAAAAAACAATAGTCACAAAATTGTTTCGAAAACAAAATAGAAATTTCAAAATTTCATATCATGATTTGCCTCAAAAAAAAATCATTGAGGAAACCAAACAAAATTAGACAAACAATCCAATATGAAACAAGTCGAGACCTTATTGGCCAAATAAAACTTTTCAGTGAAAAGGACAAAAATATATTAAAAAACGGAGTCGGTGAAACGAAGATAAAAAAGCAAGATAAAAAACAAATTTCGAATTGAACGGTATTTAAAAGTCAAGCATGCTCAAATTATGTTTACTAGTGGGCAGGTCTGTTCCGCTAGGAGTCCGCTGAAGAAAATGAGTTAAGAAAAATTTGCTGACGGCTTAAAACTAGTATTTGCAATACACTTGCTCTAGTAAATGTAAATATTTTAATCAAACTTTCGCATCTCTATCCCCACAGTTTAAACTAAGGCGATAAGTAACGTAAAAAGATGCTAAAAAATCAACTGAGGAATTTAATGCAGGTTAGGTACGAAATTTAAAAAAAAAACAACGCTAAGCCTTTTCAACTAATATATTTTCATATTTAAAAACTTTCAAAGACAAAATCAATTTTTTTTGGAAACTAATTGACCCGTTTTGATTCAATAGCAGGATTACTGTTGTAAGAAAAGCTTATAGACGATGAAATAAACATTAAGCTAAATTCAAGCTCTAAAACAAATCAAAATTACATAGAAAACATATCTATTGAACAAATTTTAACGTTCAATATCAGACAGACCTTGACCTATAATTCCATGAATCAGTAATATTCACCTTAAATTAATCAAAAGGCGACAAAACGGAAGAAAATTTCAAAAAAAAAATTTGAAGAGGCAGATCTTAAAATATCATTTTTCATAAAACTTCTGTCAAAATTTCCATGACAGCTTTACTTTTTTGACCTTTTTGTTGAGCTAGTTTCAAATGGCTTAACAATGACAATAGAACCATGACAATGACAATAAAACCATGTGTACCATGTCAAAAAAAGTAAGTCTGTCATGGAAATTTTGACAGAAGTTTTATGAATATGGATTTTTAAGAAGCAGATCTTAAAATACCATATTCAAAAAAACTTCTGTCAAAATTTCCATGACAGCTTTACTTTTTTGACCTTTTTGTTGAGCTAGTTTTAAATGGCTTAACAATGACAAAAGAACCATGACAATGACAATATAACTATGTGTACCATGTCAAAAAAGTAAATCTGTCATGGAAATTTTGACAGAAGTTTTATGAATACGGTATTTTAAGAGGCAGATCTTAAAATATCATATTCATAAAACTTCTGTCAAAATTTCCATGACAGCTTTACTTTTTTGACTTTTTTGTTGAGCTAGTTTTAAATGACTTAACAATGACAATAGAACCATGACAATGACAATAGAACCATGTGTACCATGTCAAAAAAGTAAAGCTGTCATGGAAATTTTGACATAAGTTTTATGAATATGGTATTTTAAGAGGCATATCTTAAAATACCATATTCAAAAAACTTCTGTCAAAATTTCCATGACAGCTTTACTTTTTTGACCTTTTTGTTGAGCTAGTTTTAAATGGCATAACAATGACAATAGAACCATGACAATGACAATAGAACCATGTACCATGTTAAAAAGTAAAGCTGTCATGGAAATTTTGACAGAAGTTTTATGAATATGGTATTTTAAGAGGCAGATCTTAAAATACCATATTCATAAAACTTTTGTCAAAATTTCCATAACAGCTTTACTTTTTTGACCTTTTTGTTGAGCTAGTTTTAAATGGCTTAACAATGACAATAGAACTATGTGAAATAGAATACAAAAAAAAATAAAATTAGTAACCTAAGCCGACACGACAGGTTTTGAGCCGATATACAAAAAGTCGTGAAATCCATTATAAAAACTAATCTGAAATACAGTTTAAAAAAATGAACGGAACAGTTTTCAACTGATACGTCAATGAAAAATTAGAAAACATCCTAATACATCAATGCAACAGCACAAGCACTCAAATAAAAGACTGCAACTTTCTCATGTAGAAATTAAACCGACAGAGTCCAAAGGTCTGAATTTTCCAAAAAGTGCTTATAATGGTCTTTTTTGGCCAATTTTGTCGCCCCCTCCCTCGATAAAAAATCCTAGATCCGCCCCTGCAAACACTTGCCACCAGCAAGTCAGCAAGAAAAAAAACGGAGTCTTACCGGACCTTTGGAACCCCAACCTATGGCTTTACCTCTTCAGTTAATGGAAAACTCTCAGAAAGAAACTGGGATTTCACAATAACGCAGGGCCACATTATTACAGAGTACTAAGAAAAGCTGCTCAATGGAGAAAAGTATAGTTCCCAATTATCAAAGACTTTGCTGTCTCAAATGTAAAAAACTAAAACAAGGCGTTGTCAAAATTGACTGAAAAATACCTTCAGAGACGTAAAACTACAGAAGTTTAAAACATAGCCAAAAGACAGTTCAAGAAACTTCGATGAATTCCAAAAGTCAATGGAT